GCCCCTGCAGCAGGGGGTGGTGGTGTGGGTGTCGGCGTCGCCTGTGGTGTTTGCTGCGTCGGTGGTGGCGTAGAATTCGCGGCATATGGTGAATTCGGCAAGTTTTGATTGTAGTTCGCCGGCGGGGGTGTAGCAGTGTTTAAAGCCGGAGGCTGTGCGCTGCCGCTCACATACGGATAGCTCTCCGCATTCGTCTCAACACTATAAGGATATTGCGTGTAGTTTCCGGCAGTACTACTTCCGGCTGGCGCTGAAGTGTTGTAGTTGGAGGCGTAATTGCCGCTTGAATATCCCGCGTACGCATTCGGCGTATAGGCTTGATTGGAGGCATCCGCGGGATAGTATTGATATTGCGTCGGATACTGATTGACACTATCGGTGGCCGCCGGTTGAGATTGCGGTGGTTGCACGCCCGTAGACGCATAATTGTAGTAATTACCTGCCGCTTGTTGTGGGGGGTAGTAATTATTAGGCTGATCCGCGTATTGTTTATAGTTTGTTGCGCTCGCGGTGATATCAGTCGTGAGGCCAGGCGCTGTATTCGTGGAGTAATTGCTGTAAGCCGCGTAATTCGGGCCACTGCTTGCATCGGGCGTGTATTGTTCCGGTCGTTGCGCGTAATTAACGCTCGGCGGCCGGGAGCTCTGCGAAGTCGCGATTGCCGGCACGGTTGTCGCGCCTACCACCGCTGTGTATGCGGCAGTCGACGGGACAGGATAATTATTGTACCCGCCATACGCCTGCGAATTTACGTTATCGTAGTTAGACGCTGGATTACTGCCGCTAGTGCCAGAAGTCATTTTCATCGCGTTCATCTTATTGATTAGATCCTTGTTGATGTTCTTATCGGAATAGTTGACCTGCGTGTAACCGCCGCCATTGTACTGACTTGTACTGACCGAATTGCTGTATTGATGTGAATAACCCGTGTTCGGTGGGACGTATTCAGAGTGGTAATCGTTTTGCCAAGGCTGTTCTACCGCTTGACCTGCTCCTGCTACATTCCCAGTAGTTCCGTACATCGGTGATGAAGGGTATTGCATTTGTGGTCCCAAAACATCATTTTTTACCCTTTGCTC